AGGAAGTGTAGTAATATAACCAGCATAAGTGGCATACAACACACAGGAATGTCTAATGTAACCAGGAAGTGTAGTAATATAACCAGCATATGTGGCATACAACACACAGGAATGTCTAATGTAACCAGGAAGTGTAGCAATATAACCAGCAAATGTGGCATAAAACATACAGGAATGTCCAATATAAACAGTATACATTCTTATACAAGCAGATTAAAGACATACAACATACAGGAATGTCTAATGTAACCAGGAAATGTAGTAATAAAACCAGCATATGTGGCATACAACACACAGGAATGTCTAATGTAACCAGGAAGTGTAGTAATTTAACCAGCATATGTGGCATACAACACACAGGAATGTCTAATGTAACCAGGAAGTGTAGTAATATAACCAGCATAAGTGGCATACAACACACAGGAATGTCTAATGTAACCAGGAAGTGTAGTAATATAACCAGCATATGTGGCATACAACACACAGGAATGTCTAATGTAACCAGGAAGTGTAGCAATATAACCAGCAAATGTGGCATAAAACATACAGGAATGTCCAATATAAACAGTATACAGTATGCAGATTAAAGGTTATGCAGTCAGCATACACAGACCTCATATAGGAATGTGCAGCAGGTAAAAACTGGGGATAAAGTTGTCGGGAGGCAACTAGCCATGTTACTGGATGACTCTATGTGTCAGTTATTGAGCTCTGTAAGGAAAGAGGAAGGGGAGCGCAGAGGACCCACTGTGCCCCTTCAACCCCCCCCCCCCCCCCCCAAATAACTAATTAGAATTGTGCTGAGATGTGATTTATTGGGCCACAAAGCAAGGATGTCACAGCTTAGCTGTAGCGTAGCTGCACTAGTGTAGCTGCATACAAGATGTCAACCATTCTTCTGTACGGTGAAGTAGAAGAAGAAGACGAAAAAGGAGGAGGAGGAGGAAAAGAAGAAGGAGAAAAAATATAAAGAAGAAGAAGCAGGAGAATGGGACAAGAGGTAAGGACTCTGGAAATTGTGTGATACGTAAAACCAAGAGGCTCAGCAGCTGATAGAGGACAGCTCTAGGCCAGGGGATGTGAGTACATACATTAATGGTTCAGTTGCCAGGAGCAGGACAAGTGGATGGGGCTTTGTTGCAAAAGAATGCGAAAAAAGGGGGAAGGGTGGGAATAACTGAAGACAGCTTGGCTTATGATATTACCATGACCATCAGGAGAATGGAGGTTGAGGCAGTAACTATGGCGTTCTGATTAAAAAAATGATGTACCTCCATGTGGATTTAAACCATAGACCTTCGAGCCAGTAGGTGAGCATCTATCTACCACAGCTGCCTAAAACAGAGAGAGACTTAAAAATCATGAAGAGATGAATAAGTGGAGGACATGGAAGGGGGACGGGGGGTGTAAGAGACGGCAAACGAAATGAAAGTCTGGTGTGATTTGGCTGAGGGCCTATGCTCCGATGGGAAATAAAGGACAGAAAAGATGACTATTTTTTTGGGTCCTCTAAGAGTGACCATCCATTATTATTTACCATCCATGATTTTTGACTGTCAATGATTATTCATGCAGAATGATTTATGAGCAATTAATATTTTTGTCTATTTACATCCGGCATAGAATAAAACAGTTTTTAAAAAAATTCTGCACATAGATTTATAACAAATACACACAAAGTATTTATGAAGATAAAATAGGTGAAACTATGTTTTATGATTTATACTCTTTCAAAATCAAGCACATATATAAATATATACATTTTTGTTTAGATGTTTGTGAATATGCATATATTTTTTCTATTTCTCTCTCCTATTATGACACTAACACATATTTTCTTGTGCTTGTGTGCATTTTTTCCGAAAGACACCCACTGAGTCCCACACACATACATGCATAGTTTATACAAATTGCTTGTAAATGTAAATGTGCATCGCAATAATAACACTCAGCTCCTCTGTTTTGTGTGTGGACACCTATCCCGACAAGCAAACAGAGCACTTTAAACATAAGTCTCTTCAAACAAACAAACAAAAACCTAATTCAGAACGATCTGAAGAAATCAGAGAAATGTCTGTAAAACTGCCGGTATCAAAAGTTATAGGACTAATGAATAGGCAATATATTTTGCATATTTTGAGGCAAAGCAGATTGAGCATCATCAAACAGACACTCCATCAGGAAACAAATGGATCTGAGGGATCTTGGCCGCTTAAGAGAGAACCTTAGGTAATCAGGTATGAGGTAATCACAGTTCTAGTTTGGTAGCAAATGGGTCACCCCACAGATGCTCCATTCTTGTGCCAACAACACACAAAAACACACAGAATGTCCATCATTGTCCCTTGTGAAAAAACAAAAGACTGCAGTCTCATAAAGCAATCGTCAAAAGTGCCAACGCAAACAGTCTAGCACTAGAAATTTCGTTCATCATCGATGGAAGCAGAAATTGCGATAGATGAGTAGTTGCACATGTCACTAATCACATAAGACACCATCAGTTCTCTGTCAACAGGCTACTCATTATTTTCTGAATCTTCAGTTCACAACATAAACCATGTTGGGCACAGTAAAATAAAAGCATCCCAAACGAAATCAGCAGCTCAGTGTCACACTACACACTCAACACAACAGCTGGGTGACAGAACTATATCCTCCTAGTTTACATATGGAGGAAAATGCAATGGCTAACTATTGTCAGAGGCCATGAAGTAAAATAGTAGCGCTGCATATCCGCCTCATTGATCAGAAGTGAAAAAAAAAAACATAGACAAACATTAATTAGACAGACTATTGGTGCTGGACTGCATCCAGCCAGGACGATGACAAGATTGCACAAGACAGAAAGTAATGTGACACATAAAGAAAACAACTGATGAAGATGATGACTTAGAGACACTGTTCAGGTGACCATGTTTGTAGACCCCAAGACCGATAACTAACACTTCCTTTATATTCAAAAATTATAATCCCTGTGTGGGTTCGGGGGGGGGGGACGCTTTGTAGTACAGGCACTTCTTTCTTTAGATATCTTTCTTGTGTGTACCAACACCTGTTTGTTTCTTTGAAAAAAAAACACACACACACACAGAAAAAAGAATGTTACAGTCACGCATTTTCTAATTATGAACCATTTTATTTTCGCATGCCAGATATTCTCAAGAGTAACTGTAAATATATAAATATTATCACACTGATTACTTTACAGGAGCTTTCATATGTACACACATCCCCGGGTGGGTTCAGAGATCCTATTATAGGGAAAACAAGAATAGACCCACTGCCTACCCAAAAGCATGTGGAAAGAGTTGACCAACTGGGAGCTTCCTTCGAAGATGGAGTGCATCTGCCTGAGAGTCAAGGAACCAACAGACTGCATACAAATTAATCAGATCTGTCAAATGGATGCACAGTTAACACTCAGGTTCTGGAACAGGATTGCAGTCCAGAAGTGGACGAACAGCCAGAACTTGCCACCAGAGGTTACAGCTGGTGAACGCAAAGACAAAGAATATATGCACATAATGTATATACCTACAGGCAGACATTTGCTAGCCTAGCCACCATGGTTGAGAAGGTCGATGTACTGGGACCACAACAATAAGCAAACAAGTAGAGCTACACAGAGATCAGAAGGACATAGGTGATTTAAGGACACTTTTCAAGTGAAATGAAAACTCATCATCATTGTGTGCCATGAAAGTAGGCGTAGGCTGCCCATGTTTTACCATCTCACATGAATGTCAAAATTAGGATTAGGTCAAATTATTTGTCTCGTGTCCAATCCATCTGGCCAGGTCATCCAAGTATTTACAGTCAAGCAAGAATTTCGACAGTCAAATCTGAATCCAAGAAAGTACGTCTAACAACTGCTCAATACTTATTTTATTGTTCTAAAATTGTAGAAATGTCATGAACTTCTTGTTTATGTTTGTCAGAGTGACATAACAGTGTTGTGCCCGTTTGCAGGATAGCTGTTATATTTGCACCTTTTGGGTAACACACCCAACTTCATTAGGCATTTGTTCGCCAGGTTAGTGTTCCTGCTGTCATCAACTTAAAGCTAATGATGTTTTTGTTAGAGATGTTACAGTAGAGGCTGAGACCACTAGAGTAAGAACTTATTTTACTTCACTCGTTTTAGGGAAGCAGGTTTTAAACTATCCCAGCCCGTCGCTCTAGCGTAGTTGGATAAACCGGATTGCGCGGTGAGCGGGTGACGAGCTCCTTGTGGTCCGGGTTCACTCTCGGGGGTGGGCAGAAAAGCCACATTTCTCCCAGATTTACGGTATTTAAAATGGAATCAAGGTCGAAAGGTTGCGATATCCATAATACCGAGCCTAAAGGTTAACAACTCATGGCTTCTGGATACTAAAACAAACAAACAGCACTATCCCAATATACTACAATTATTTCTTTAACTCTTTTGGTACCATAATTTTGATGCAGAAGTAAGCACAATAACCACTAAGGCAGTATAACTCCAATATACACTGCCTGTCTCAAAGACTAACATTTCAATGTAAAACAAACTACAAACATTATAATAGTACCCTCATAAACATCTAATTTCTTATAATTAAATTATTATTACAATTACTCAATACAACATGCACTGTTGGAAAATCCTTTGGTGAAATAGCTTTATCCACTGCATTGCTTCTTTCTGCTACCCCATTGTAAAAAAAAATGCAATGCTCAGTCACAGCTGTACCAATAACTGAAGCCAATCAGTTTCTCTCCAATTTCATTATTGACTGCACTGCTGACTTGCAACAACCCCATAACGCAAATGTAATAATCTGCAACATCTCTGTCAGTAACCGTAGACAGTTTCTCCCATATCATGTTCAACTGCACAAGTACAAGTCCCAACAGTTAATAATCCTTGACAGTAGGGAAAAGTCTGGAATGTCTAAGATACAGCTTCACCGCAATTATCAACTCCTGTGGTTGGAATTTTGCAAAGAAACAAAGAGCTGGAGGTCCATAAGCTGGGGTTAACTTTGGAAGTGATCAAACAATAGCGAATGGTCATCTGCATCAGGATTGAGCGGGTCAGATAACAACATCGGGTCTCCACAGACAGATGAGCATTCATCCATTAGTTCATCTGACTGCAATGAGAAAGACAGATGGCGTTTCTATATATTTTAAACAGTGTAACAGCATGTAAATACAATATCAAAAATATATTACATAGATTGAAGAGATGTGTAAACTTCATAAGTTGTTGTTCTTGCAGTCTGGTTGCCAATTCAGTTATCACTTTATTCTCACAAACATTTTACTCACAAACATGTTATTGCTTTGGACCACAGTCCACTACTTGTGGTCAAGGCAACACTACCAGAATCTTGCTTACATAATATGAGCCACAAAAACCTATGAGCTTCTCTAAATCGAACCACAGATCCTTCTGTATTAATGACAGCGTTCTCCTCTAAAGAATTCTCACAAATCAAGGCCTGCACTTCTGCCACCACAGTGACCAAACTTCCTTGTCTGCATTTTGTGCCCAGTCAGTTGCAAACAGGAAAGATCGTACAGCACTCTACTGGTGCCTGTACCTATCTCTCCAGGTTCTATGTCCTCAAGTGAACACACCAGCTGAATAATATCCTCAGCATGACCAATCCATGGCTGTACTCTTATTAACCAAAGGTTCTGGATTAGATTCCATCCATGATTATCCTCTTATTAACCAAAGGTGCTGGATTAGATTCCATCCATGATTATCCTCTTATTAACCAAAGGTGCTGGATTAGATTCCATCCATGATTATCCTCTTATTAACCAAAGGTGCTGGATTAGATTCCATCCATGATTATCCTCTTATTAACCAAAGGTGTTGGATTAGATTCCATCCATTATTATCCTCTTATTAACCAAAAGTGCTGGATTAGATTCCATCCATGATTATCCTCTTATTAACCAAAGGTGCTGGATTAGATTCCATCCATGATTATCCTCTTAATAACCAAAGATTCTGGATTAGATTCCATCCATGATTATCCTCTTATTAACCAAAGGTGTTGGATTAGATTCCATCCATGATTATCCTCTTTTTAAGCAAATGTGCTGGATTAGATTTCATCCATGATTATCCTCTTATTAACCAAAGATTATGGATTAGATTCCATCCATGATTATCCTCTTATTAATCAAAGGTGCTGGATTAGATTTCATCCATGATTATCCTCTTATTAACCAAATGTGCTGGATTAGATTTCATCCATGATTATCCTCTTATTAACCAAAGGTGTTGGATTAGATTCCATCCATGATTATCCTCTTATTAACCAAAAGTTCAGGATTAGATTCCATCCATGATTATCCTCTTATTAACCAAAGGTGCTGGATTAGATTTCATCCATGATTATCCCCTTATTAACCAAAGGTACTGGATTAGATTTCATCCATGATTATCCTCTTATTAACCAAAGGTGTTGGATTAGATTCCATCCATGATTATCCTCTTATTAACCAAAGGTGTTGGATTAGATTCTATCCATGATATTGAAAAGATTGCAGACAATAGAGTGGAATGGAGGAATAGACTGCCAGTCTTATGTAACATATACAATGCAGGCTGCTGTAGGTGATCTCAGATGTGGCGAATTTCTGCTATCAAGAACAATTTGTTTAACCTCTACATAACCTCATAACTGTAAACTCTTCTAATCTCTTAAATTCAATTATTAATCAAATAAGTTATCACAACATGCACTTTATGAAAATCCTTTGGTGAAATTGCTTTATCCACTGCGTAGCTTCTTTCTGCTACCCCATTGGAAAAAAAAAATGCAATGCTCACTTCATCCAAGAAAAGCAAAATCGCATCACCCACACACAAAAGAGACTTACCGCAAGAAGGGAAGTGAAGCTCTGTGTGTTCATAGACATGGCGTGACTATCGCTAGAAGACACCTGCGAAGTGACCAGTTGTTCTGTCCTCATGACACTGTTAAAGCTCCCCTGGAGGTCCACATCTCCTATCAGCGGGTTCTCAATTCCATGGGACTTTATCAAAAACTGCATTTGCTGTAAGAAACATGGAGTCATGAAATATTCCATGAAGAACATACAGAATCTTTTTTTTTTTCTTTCAATTATCATCATCATCCCATAACATTGTCTGTTGTCGTTAGGTCACCAGTTGCTGTTGACTGTGTGATCAGATCCATCTAGCTTTGACAGCCAGATGTGAGGCACTCCCTGGTTACACGCCTAAGGCTTGTCCAGTCAGTCAAGTTTTGTATCTAGGTCTTTCTAGGTCTGCCTCTTCTCCTCTTCCCCTCTACTGAGCCATGTAGTATTGTTTTTGAGAGGTCGTTAGATCTAATTACATGTCCATACCATTACATTTTTCACTTTTTGACTGTAGTTAAAAGAGGTTCATAGTAGCCAATGTGCCAGATAATTATACTGTATGTTGTTTATATATATACATATAAACATTTCTATGTTATAAAAATTGAGATCTCTGCACATCTCCTAATGAACTCAGGTACAGAAGTGATGGTCTATCCTCATTAACCCATGTCTATTTAGCTAACAACATATGCCAAATTAATCAGATAATTATGGCAACACCTCTCATTAAGTTTCTATAAGGAGGTCCCATAAGTTTCCATACATAAAACAATAAACATGTTTTTATGAAAACTATCTCTCTTTATGTAATTTATGTTCCACCACAGTTTTGAAAACACACTTAGATGTATGTATACCACAGCTAAAGAACTGGTATACACATAGCTGGGGTTCTGCTTGTAATGGTGTTGGTGATATGTTCATTCTTCCTATGTATTGAAACTTATTATTAAAGTGTAAGAGTAATAAAGTGAATATTTTTAGAACTATTTTTTGGCAAACACTATGCTATCAGTGCCAAAGTGGACATTTACATCCTCTAATGAACGTAAAATTGTCACCACAGAGATTAAATGACTCAGAAGAGCTGCAGGAGTTTCAAGGAAAGACAGAATACAGAATCAGGAAATCAAGACGAATGCTAGGAATAAAGCAGGTTATCAAAGAGAATATTAAATCAGGAAATCAAGACGAATGCTAGGAATAAAGCAGGTTATCAAAGAACAACAAGTGAAGTGGTCTGGACACCCAACAAGAATGCCCTGGTACTATCTACCACAGTGAGCCATGCTGAACCGGTACAACTGGTATAGAGCGAGTTGAAGACCTTGGAAAACATGGAGTGATGGCATAAGGAACAGCCTTACAGAAATGAACATCAATCTTAATAGTGCTTTTGACAGAGCTCATCAATGATCGTTACATCTTCCCCCGACACTTCAGTGAGGTACAAGGTGGAAGAAAAGAAGAAGAAAAAGAAGACAGAAACTTATAGGACAACCACTGTAAGATAAAATTAACAAGATCTTAAACAAAACAGGGTAAAAATCAGGGTACCCAAGTACTTAAACATATCACTTGTTTGAGGATTGTCCCAATAGCATTGGTGCTGCATTCTGGAAGGTCCATTTTCTTAAGATTAACAACATAAGATTACAACATAAGATTAACAACATAAGATTAACAAGAACTTACACGGAGTTTCAGCAGAACTTTTCGTAGATCACTATCAGCTTTTCTCTTCTGTTCCAAAACCATCCTGTATTTTCTCTGATCATCTTGGAGGGACTTGATGTATTCTACTGACGCTTTTAGAATTGTCCCTTTGTTTTGTCTCAAATCTCTGCAAAAATTCAAGAAAATAAGATAGGATTTTTTTTTAAACACTATATTAATACTTAGTAATCTGCATGCCCTTTGCAGTAGCCCAGTGTTTCCTAAACTTTTCTAAGTCGCTGCGTCTTTTTTTTAATTAACATCTTTCTGCAGCGCCTTAACCTAAGTAGAAGTATGACAATTCATGTGTAAGAGATAAATATAAAAAAAAACTTATGTGTCTTGGAATATTTCACAGCGCCGGGGCGCCGCGGCACACAGTTTTGGAATCACTGCAGTTGCCAGTAGTCTTTTAATCAAAATACTGGCAGAGTAATTAACTCTGAGTCCCAAGGAACACATCAAACATTCATAGGTTCCTACCTAGAAGCCCAATGAATGCAAGGATGTGCCGATTTTATGTCTCTTTTGACTATCCTTTGGGCATGGTCCTCTCGAGTGCTGGAGATCCCAGGCTCAGGCCCCTGAGAAAACTGGAATTTTTTCAACTAGACTTCTAGCAATTTCCCCTGGTTTCTTGTTAGTGAGATCAAACGCCTGTGTGTACTGTTGCATGTTTAAAAATCCCTTGGCATTTGAAAATCAAAAATAGTAGCCTAACAGCGCTGCCTGGGCAAAATCTGGAGTTTAACATCTACCTAAAGTCGTTCAGGATTCTCGCCAGTGCTACAGAGTTCATGCGCTGTGCTGAGATTCTTTGGACTCAGGTTTGAGTTAGAAGTAGAACGGAGCATTTATCGGTTATTATCCTTGTGCTATAATGTTGATCCGTCATTTAAACCATCATTACCCACATGCTATTTTTTAGTAAATATAATGATATCGGGCTTCTAAGGCACTGCATAGTAGCAAACAGAACCAGAGCCATTAATTAGACCAAGCCGAGACTGGCTAAAGATGTAAAGCTTATAGTTTAACTATGGATTTCCTAGGGGATGTCTAACGAAAAACCCAGCACACATATCAGTGACTCAGGGCCAAGGGGTTAAGATGTGGAATTTTCCATGAAGAGGTTTATGCCTTTATCCAAGAAGGTTTGGCATGTGATCCATTACCCAGAAATCAACAGTAGTGTGACACCAGAATTCGCTTAAAACTTGTATGCAAGAAATTTGGGTGCTTTATTAATATCCAACCCCAAACAGGGAAAATCCTCAGGTCACGGGACAGTCTAATATTTCAGGGGGTGGTAGATAGGCTGCATGCAGTCATGGGACTTAGGCTGCACTCTCTCGTGGGATGTAGGTGGGTTGGGGTTAGGGCCAGTTGTATATGTTTTGGGGTCATTAAAAGCATCAAAAAGCTAGAAAACCCAGTCTTACTACCCTCTAAAATGTTGGACTGTCCTGTGAAGTCATCTGGGGTAAGATTTTAATAAACAAAACTGAGAAATTTGCAAGGAGGAAAGGAACAAACAATGCAGGAATCACTTTTAAAAAAAGCAACACAAGTATCATATAATTATGTTACAAATGCAAGAGAAACAGATTTATTGACTTACGGATCTATGGTTCTTGGTAAAAGGCCACCCAGCTCTTTTATTCTGTCATTTATATTAAATCGTCGTCTCCTCTCAACTACAAAATATAAAAAGAACAAAAATCAAGCTTTTTTAGCTTTTAATTACATATAAATATTTGTAGCAAAGAGTGCAACAGAGTAGACAGTTAAACCACTAGTCCCTTAGGGCTTAAAATAAAAAAACATGCACCTCATATCATTACCTCATAAACCCAATTACTACAGGGAGTCTGTAGCTTAGGCAATGTGAACACGCTTTGTGATGCCAGGGTGGCGGCTTTGATCCCAGCTGCGGACAGATTGTCTTGGGCTAGTTTCGACAGTAGTTCTGAAAGCTGACTGTTCAGAAAGCAATGGCAAACTACTGAACATAAAATTTGCCTAGAAAAACCACAACAGCCAAAAAATGTTGGGGTTGGTTCTACGACAACCTGTAAAGGATACGCAACTAACTAAAGGGAAATTATAACATCCCTGTGGCTTCAAAAATAAATGACCAAAATAAAATTTCAAAGTGAAACATCTCCAAATGTTATTTAGAGTAAATATAATCACGCCTGTGTCCTCTTAACCTAAACATTGTGCAGGTGTACCTAAACATTGTGCAGGTTTAAACAGAAGCAATGCAGGTGTAAACTGGGTCTGTCAGCAACTCTAGGATTAATAATGAACAGAAATGTCAGGTTTATGGTGTCGCAGGCTAGAGGGCTAAAGACATCCTGTCTCATATTTCTATAACTGAAGTTCACTGGAACTAATAAAGTGATTTAAGGCAATTAATGAAACATGTTTTGGTATTTTGTCCTGCCCTCTTACTTCCAGTCCCCTTTAGATTTTATAAATATTTACTTTTTCAGTACCAAGATGTTTCACATGAGAGGCCAAAGTAGAGAAATAACCAGGGTGAAAAATCCTGACCTACAGGTGTGAGTCATGGGCAATGACAGCAGCTCACAGAAGCCAGCTTCAGGCCTCCAAAATGAGACAGCTGAGACAGGTGGTCCAAGTGGCAAGAAGAGACAAACTTCACAATCAGAAAATACGTCAGGATCTTGACATCCAGGCCTTAGAAACCCGAGTGGATCAGTCACAGTTGCAATGGCTTGGACATGTATGCAGAATGGGAGAGAATCGGCCACCATGGCAGGTAAGGAGGCCAAGCGTCAGGGAGCCAGACCTCCAGGACGACCCAGAGTTCGCTGGGAAGACAACATTCTACAGTCCCTGACTGACAGAGGACTGGAATTGAAAAAAGCCAAAAAGAAAATTGCAGATAGGGAAGTCTAGTGTTCTCTCTGGCAGACAATCTACACCCCAAGATAGAAAAGGATCGACTAAGTGAAAGAAAAATCATGAATGTATTATTTTTGAAGCGGCTATGTAAACAGTGATTATTACCATTGAGTTTGCCAGATTTTGTTTAGTAAGTTCTGACTAAAGTTTAAAATTAAGAAAGCACATTATACTATGGAGGGAAATCAAGGCACAGTGCCTCTCACAAAGCAGGTGGTCCTTGGGACTGAATGAGTTAAGGATTCTCTTATCTCCCTTTAGATGCATTGTGTAAATGATTTAGTCCCGTATTTCTGAGACATATCAGCCCTCAATGGGTGATGCAGCAAATACTTTGCCGGCTGCTTTTACTTACCAAAATATATTTCCTATTACCCATTTGAGGCTCTGTCTGTGCTGGAATCCCAAATCAATTACACCTTCTTCACGACTCATGACTTATGCCACTTACGACCATCCGCACTAACAATCACGATAAATAAACAAATGAAAATAGCAATTGCAGGTTGTATTTTTGTTTACACTATGCACAACAAAGTACAGGTTATATATTTTTCCATTATGTACCAGGCATGGTACCAGAAAGGAGGGGCAGGGACCGACCAGAACAAAGATGGGCTCAGAATATAAGTGACTCCTTAAATATGAAAGTAATGAGATGGTAGAGCCGACGAGAGACAGAGTTTGCTTCAGGCAGACGATGATGTGAGCGACGTTGTGCAAAGGACCTGCTACATGATGATGATGTAAAAATTATACATATCACAATTATACATACATAGACTCCATTTTTGTGTTTTATGTACAACCGCTGTAAGCCATGTAAATGAAAATAGTGTTGAAAAATACAAATGTGACTAACGACCAGTTCGACTTACAACCTGTTAGTCGGATCAGATCCCAGTTGTAAGTCAGGGAAAAATTTGGAAAAGTTGACTGACTGACTGACTTTTTACCCCACCAGGACATCAAACAAGCGATAAACACCTGATGACACAATGTGCCACCATGTGGGTGAGGATCACCCGTGGAGAAGTCCCAGAAACCACGTTCAGCCTTTAGGCCAAATTTATGGCCAGGCTATATTGCAGCCCCTGGCAAGAGCCAGAGTAGGGCTTCAAATAACGAAAAACTTCATCCTAAAAAGGACGAGAATTGTTATGAAGTTTTTTGGAAAAGTTAACTCATGACCACCATATATATAAACTAGTCTCTGCATAAAGATGGTTCTCAAATGAATCATGTGGCAGTGAAAATGCTCATTATCTCATTTAATCCGAACTATTGCAGCGGCCTAATGGAGAGAATAATAGTAACAAACTAATTTTCAGCTATACTACTTTCTTATTCTTCTTCTTGTTCAAATTCTCTTTCACCACGTCGGATGTCAACAACCATGGACATGTTGTGTACTGTTCTAGAGTTTTTTTTAATGTTATTTCCCCCTCCCCCCCTCCCCCCTACTGTTCTTAGACTACCTCGTGCTCTAGGTCCCTCTCCTTATTACCTGCTTGTCTTGTATGAAATTGTGTGGCGTGTCATTCTCTCTACGTGGGCAGCCATTTTATTTGTTGTAATTTAGCACTGGTTCTTTGAGGTCGTACAAGAAACAGATGGACAGAACCCATTCCAAATAACATAAAAGACAGCAAATCTATTGCACTGCCTTATGACCCCCTACCATATAAGGCATACACCAGAAGAGAAGGTCATATATCACAAGGCAGACCAAGAACAAGATGGAATGATAACATAAGAGAAACCCTACCACAGCACGATGTGTTTATCTCAAGCCGGCCAGTAGAGCAAGAAGCAGAACCTTATTACCTCCCTTGACACCCAAAGTGGTAAAAGAGGAGGTGAAGCAGAGGAATCAACAGAAAACTGTCAAACAAGGGATCAAAACTTACTGATGTTGTGATTGTCTTTTTTGATTCTCTCTTTCCTCCACATATCATCTTGCACGGACAGGCCTGGGGACATACTGCATTGTTGATTGTATGCTGCTGTTGGACATGATGAAATCATTCCATCCGGATCCAGTCTATCAAATGGTGGCTGCAGCAAGCCTGCTTGTGACAACTGTTGATGGATAATGTGGACAGGTTTCAACTCAGCAAAGTTATTGTGTTATGATAACAGCTGAATCATGTACACAGATTTCAACTAGCAGTTAGTGTGTTATGATAAGTCAACGATCGAGTTATCAGCACTTTATGTCAGCTCACAATTAACTCCTTCATTACTGATTATTTTCCAAAGTGATAGCAGTTGTAGGAACAATCATAGTTTTTATAGAAAACGTTTTAAGGGCTGTCTAGGAATGAATGCGAGCTAAAAACATAATATTAATATTAAACATATGAATGAATGAATGAATCTAAAGCTGAAGATGGTGGGTGTCCCAAAAAGGAAGGATGCATGAGAGGTTAGGTATGAAGTGTTTACAATCAGTGTGCTTCTGGCATGACTAACATCTGTGACATTTGCTGAAGGAGACAGAACATCTTCCACTGCTACTATCATGGGATGATGCCAGTTCTTATAAATTTAATCAAATCAAAATACAAAATGAGCAGAATTATTTACGAACCTGAAAAACAAGCAAAGACATCATTTTCATTTGCTTCTACTCAGTAATAAAATAGAATGCATGATGTATCAGATTACAGAATGTGGAATGTTGAATTAGGAATCGACACCACAGCATTCAGGACATTCTGATAAGTGCTCCGTCCCTATCTTCAGCAGCAAGTGCAGAGTTAAAATTCAAATGGCACCAGAAACAGTCTAACTGTATATATGTCTCGCCTTTCCCTTGAGTGTTGAGCATCAGCCAGATCCCCTGGTCACTCTTTGCAACATCTGTCTCCTTAGACCTTGATGATCTGTTTGTGCCTCTGCACTGTTCCCTCACTCCCAAAGGACCCTTACAACATCTAGATTATCATGCATCAGTTCACCACAGAATTGTACAGAACAAACCAATCATCTAACTGCCTGTTTGTTTCCCAACACACTGATATAACCTGAAGAAAAAAAATTTCCAAAGCATGCTAACTATCCGGAATCTCTGTAGTGATGCTTGCAACTCAGTTTTTGTTGAATTATTTCTTAGATTAAAAAGAAACTGACAGACAGCACAAATCAGTTCACTTCTTTGAAATTTGTTGTTTGTTTAGTGTCTCATTCCCAAACATGTGCATTCTAATCCAAATAATTTGGCAATGTGGAAACATACTTTCCACTTGCCCTAGACTATTCACAAAACATTGTTACTGCAGTGTGAACAGACCATTATATTAGAGCACATCCAATTACAAGGGCCAACAATAAAGTAATAAGACTGATTTTGTTATGGCCAAGACAAAAATGCCATCTATGAAACAAAGCATGGAATTTAAAGAAGCAACATTCATCTATGATCTGGCAACTTTTCATTGCCGCTTGACAAGCAGACAACAAACAAGCCGCCATTTTGTTGACCTAGTCAGAGGTGCAATTTTACGTTATCAGTAAGGAGCAAAAAGCTAACATTAAATTCTTTTTAAAACTCAGAAAAAGCGCTATTATAACAGCTGAATTAATGCAGCAAGTTTATGAGAATAATTGTTTATCTCGTGCACAAATTTTCAGGTGGTATTCACGATTCAAAAGTGATGTGGGAATAATTACTAATGCACCTAGACCTGGACGCCAAATTTCTGTTCGTAATGATGAAGTCATTACAAAAGTCTGAGAATGGATACAAGATTATTGTTTTACTGTGAGGATAATGGCAGATGAATATGGTGTTAATAGAGAGACCATTCATAACATTTTGGTGCAAGATTTTGGCAAGAAAAAAGTTGCTTGCCGGTTTGTACCAAATTTGTTTTCTGATGACCAAATACATCAGCGGGTTGAGTACCCAAGAGACATCATCAAAACAAGAATGTTTGGCCCCAATACAAGTTTGTGTTCTCAGCCTTCCACTCTGTTCCCCAGATTTGTCTCCCTGTGATTATTTTCTATTCACAAAACTAAAGTTACCATTGAAAGTACGCTTCTTTAACGATATTGGTGACATCCAAAGGATCGTAACATCGACTTCAAGGGCCATAACAACAGAAGAACTACAGAGGTCATTCTAGTGTTTGTTAGATCGTGCCACTTGCTGTATCAATGCATAAGGGAATCAGATACAGGTTATATCTTGAACTGTTGATTATTTTAATTTTTATGGAATTAGTCTCATAACTTAATTGTCTGACCTTGTATAAAGGAATAAAACTCAAAAGTTTAGGAAAAATAATATTTCTCCATTTTAGTTTCTTTAGGTCCACACTGAATCATTAGTGACTCTACATGTCAGACATCAAATGATCTTAAAAGACAATAAAACATATAACAAGACAGTCTTACAATATTATAACCCAGATGGACTGAACAGGGTATCATTGTTTACTCAACTAGATAGTCTAAGACAAGACAGAGCACTGCTATTCTGAACCAGCAGCTTCTGCAGGATGTTTTGTTCCAAACATATTGGCACTACCATTTCTTTGGAGTAAACAAGACAGGCAGAGAAAGGAGATCATGATGCATAGGCAACACCTGATCTCTACAACACTGCCCAGGTTGTACCTGATGACTGATCTTTATGTTGAACTGAGGAGATACATGAGGAAAGCAAAAGGAATAAAGAAGACAATGATTGCAGACAGGTAACCAATGGTGCTGCCGAGAAGAAACATATTAAACACATGAACTGGCAACAAGGAACCTGAAATCCAAAGCTCATTGTGGAACACACTCCCTAAAACTAGCATGTCTTGCTAGTCACACTCGCCATTGCCATGGTGTGTGATTCCTATACTACCCAAAAGCACAATACAACACTCTTCTTCTTCTTCTTTCCTACTCCCAGAATGCCTCACAGCGTTAGATCAGGAATTGGATTTCATTTGCTTTACATGTAGTACTTTTCATTGTCTTCAATATTTCTGTGGTCCCCTTCTGCATGGTCAACCCATGGCTCTGTTACCATTGTATCTGTATAACACTGCTCTCTGTGGTGCCCTGTCTAGAGCCAAACTTGTTTCAAAGCCAAACCACTTGATTTGTTGTCTATCGAATAAGTTCAGTATTGGTTCTGTGCAGACTCTCCTCCTGACATGATTGCTCCCAAATTGATCTTTCTTTGTTAATACACACCTAGCATAATAGGTAAACATTTCCTATACAGGTAAACATTTCCTATACAGGTAAACATTTCCTATACAGGTAAACATTTCCTATACAGTGTAAAACTAGGATCTGGAAAGACAGACTAAAACAGTGTGAAAAGACACAAAAGTGCAAAAAACCACTAGATGCACTTACATCATCTCTCAGGGATTCCCCAATTGTCGGCTGTATCTCCCTGAGATCGTCATCATCCAGGAAGCTCTCCAACTCTAAAGGTTCCACAGACTGCAGTTCTCGCAGCAGGTCAAAGTTTGATGGGTTAAACTGCAAAAAAGAACACCTTCAATTACCTATTCAATTGTACAGCTGAGACAAGACTATTCACCTGGTGGCTAACAGGTAAAATCCAGCCGGCTGAGGCCTAGCAAGCACCTGCCGATAGCATTCTGTTCTATGCTGGGGCTCGAGCTTCTGGCCCGCAATGATCAAACTTTTCCAATATTCTTACCACTGAGTAAACATCAAGGAAGACTGACTAATAAACAGCATCTTGTCTTGGAAGCTGAAATATTCTGTTTATATCATTGGCGGACTGGAAACAATAACAGCAGAAGGCATGGTACCAGGAAAGAAGGACAGGGGCCGACCAACATGAACATGGGCATAGAATATAAGTGGCTGAAGTACACAAGGCAAGAGAGCTTGCGAGAGACCGAGTCTCTTTCAGGCAGACCGTGATAAGAGCGACCTTCAGCAAATTACCTGCAACATAAAGAGGATGAGTACACTTTTCTAAAATGCCCTGTGCAAAAGGCTGAAACTGCATTTACAGAAGAATCATCACTGCTTGTACTGATGAGTTTATTATGGAGTTACTCGGGCACTTATAGATTTTCTCAGGGAACACAAAGTAACTTTATAATGGAAGAAACTGCGGCATTTATGGATGTGCTTGGGGAACATAAAGTACTTTTATTATGGAGTTACTGTGGCCCTTATGGATTTTGCTGGGGTAACATAAAGTCAGTTTATTATGGAGTTACCGCGACACTTATGGATGTGCTCAGGGAACATAAGGTAAATTTATTATGCAAGGGACTGCAGCAGCTCCGGCAATGACGCCCAGGGAGTTCAGTAAAAATTGCACTCATTAACCTTTTTTTCTTCTGAGCTTTCAGGGTGGTAAACTCCGGTGGAAAGTTCTGGTTGTTCGACCACTTCTGTATTATAGTACTCGTAAATTGAACTACACTACACAGTTGTGAAACAAACTCTTAACCTTTGAAGAACAAGGCACATGGCTTGACCACTCCACTACTAACTAACTCCCTACTCTTTAACAATCAAATTAAAAAAAAAAAATTGTAAATCTATATCAGAATTGCAAAATAAAGAGGGTGGAGGCTTGTTTTTTTTTACCTAAATCAAATCATGGACCCCTTAAATCTATTCCAAGCAAAACCACTTAGGAACAACTGTTAACAGGGCTTTTAAGTTTTCAAACTGGCAATTATTGGGGGTTAAATCTCTATTTAACCATTAAAAAAGACAAGAATCACTGGCAATTATTGGGGGTTGAATCTCTGTCTTCTCATTAAAAAAGACAAGAATCACTGGCAATTATTGAGAGTCTAATCTCTGTCTCCCCATCAACAAAGACAAGAATCACTGACAATTATTGAGAGTCTAATCTCTGTCTCCCCATCAACAAAGACAAGAATCACTGGCAATTATTGAGAGTCTAATCTCTGTCTCCCCATCAACAAAGACAAGAATCACTGGCAATTATTGAGAGTCTAATCTCTGTCTCCCCATTAACAAAGACAAGAATCACTGACAATTATTGAGAGTCTAATCTCTGTCTCCCCATTAACAAAGACAAGAATCACTGGCAATTATTGAGAGTCTAATCTCTGTCTCCCCATTAACAAAGACAAGAATCACTGGCAATTATTGAGAGTCTAATCTCTGTCTCCCCCTCAACAAAGACAAGAATCACTGGCAATTATTGAGAGTCTAATCTCTGTCTCCCCATCAACAAAGACAAGAATCACTGGCAATTATTGAGAGTCTAATCTCTGTCTCCCCATCAACAAAGACAAGAATCACTGGCAATTATTGAGAGTCTAATCTCTGTCTCCCCATCAACAAAGACAAGAATCACTGGCAATTATTGAGAGTCTAATCTCTGTCTCCCCATTAACAAAGACAAGAATCACTGGCAATTATTGAGAGTCTAATCTCTGTCTCCCCATCAACAAAGACAAGAATCACTGGCAATTATTGAGAGTCTAATTTCTGTCTCCCCCTCAACAAAGACAAGAATCACTGGCAATTATTGAGAGTCTAATTTCTGTCTCCCCCTCAACAAAGACAAGAATCACTGGCAATTATTGAGAGTCTAATCTCTGTCTCCGCATCAACAAAGACAAGAATCACTGGCAATTATTGAGAGTCTAATCTCTGTCTCCCCATCAACAAAGACAAGAATCACTGGCAATTATTGAGAGTCTAATCTCTGTCTCCCCATTAACAAAGACAAGAATCACTGACAATTATTGAGAGTCTAATCTCTGTCTCCCCATTAACAAAGACAAGAATCACTGGCAATTATTGAGAGTCTAATCTCTGTCTCCCACTCAACAAAGACAAGAATCACTGGCAATTATTGAGAGTCTAATCTCTGTCTCCCCATCAACAAAGACAAGAATCACTGACAATTATTGAGAGTCTAATCTCTGTCTCCCCATCAACAAAGACAAGAATCACTGGCAATTATTGAGAGTCTAATCTCTGTCTCCCCATCAACAAAGACAAGAATCACTGACAATTATTGAGAGTCTAATCTCTGTCTCCCCCTCAACAAAGACAAGAATCACTGGCAATTATTGAGAGTCTAATCTCTGTCTCCCCATCAACAAAGACAAGAATCACTGGCAATTATTGAGAGTCTAATCTCTGTCTCCCCATCAACAAAGACAAGAATCACTGGCAATTATTGAGAGTCTAATCTCTGTCTCCCCATCAACAAAGACAAGAATCACTGACAATTATTGAGAGTCTAATCTCTGTCTCCCCCTCAACAAAGACAAGAATCACTGGCAATTATTGAGAGTCTAATCTCTGTCTCCCCATTAACAAAGACAAGAATCACTGGCAATTATTGAGAGTCTAATCTCTGTCTCCCCATTAACAAAGACAAGAATCACTGGCAATTATTGAGAGTCTAATCTCTGTCTCCCCATTAACAAAGACAAGAATTACGTGAATCTGATAGCAGGCAGTGCTCTTAATCAACAGTGTCTTCCAACTCATGACTTCACAGCTGAGTGCTCTGAAAACCATAACAACCCTGTTTGTTCAAAATACGTGACTTCACAGCTGAGCGCTCTAAAGACCACTTACAGCACTTATGTTTATTCAGAGGTGCGCTTATAATTATTCAGGCAGGGGTTTTCCCAAAGGCAGCTGCCTAGTAAATACACACAATTAGAAAGAATGAATGTAGCTACATGACAGGTCTAAAATCCTTCCTGACAAACCACCCATAAAGTAGCTTAACATTTAACTTCATTTATTGTGACTGAAAAGACTGAAAGTGCAATATACATAAACACTAAACACGTTTCACTGTTTACATCACCATCTTGGAGAGAATAACAAATCTAACAGCAAATAAGGGGATGAGAAAAGGGCACTGGGGCTTCCCAGTATAAACACTGCAAAAACCTGATTAAAATATAACCAGAGTTATGGGGCGCCAGAACCCATACATGGAATAACAGTGAAGTGAAATGATGTTTGTAACCAAAGAACATTAGTTATTATTACATCTCAGATGCTGGACGAGCTGAATAAACGACATGCATACATATCTAATGTGAACAGGATCTACTCAATCTAGCAACCCTGTCCTACACCTCCTTCATTACATTCTGAAAGCAATTAGGAAAACAACAAAGGCTTGAGCAGCTGGGACATGCAAACCAGATTTATGGTGAAATGAAATATACGGGTCACGTGTGTCCTTGACAATCTATTTAAAGAAGCAAAAACCTGAACTGACCTACATGTACACAAATGCCTCCCTAGAAAATACAAAGTAGCTGTGAAAAGTTTCTAAAAATAAACACTGCAAGTGTAATGCAAGGGTCTGCTATAGGGATTCAGACTTTATGTTAAGAGATTTGTTGTGGAGAGTGAAGAGATGACAAAGCTCTACATACAAAGGATTGGCTCTTTCAGTCATAGAAAGCTGTTACTTCCAAAATGTTGTTTTGGTAGAAGAATAAAAATGACCATGTTCAACCCTGCGAAGCCAGCCCTGGATATTACTGTGTGGCTTTATCTGCGTGATGTTAAATGGTTTAAATGGTTTGTTGTGCCAGTAGTGCCCCAATGTCCTTAACTGAGTGAGAAGTCACGTCTGAAGATGCCTGTGTCTTCTCCGTTGGTTCCTGTGGTCCTGGTGAGGGGATCCACTCTGCACGTCCATCTTCTTGGCTGTGCTTTCTGTGTCTTAGGTATGATTGTTATTTATGACTGTGTTGTCATACTTATATCATGTGTAATGATGTTCTTCCTGGGGCATGTTGTCCAGTCCTTCAAGTCCCTGTCCTCTCTTGGTTATTACTCTCCTGTTGTGGGGTCCAGATGTAGGTCAAAACTGTTTTATCATCAAACACTGCAGTTCACAGCACCCACACTGACCATTCAGAGTCTGCTGTATAAACTAAGCAACCGTTGTTGCATGCTGTCCTCATTTAACACTATCTCTAGTCCCTTCTTTAAACATGCAGTGACAGGTTACAGCTGCTAATCCTTCATTCCCCAATGGATCCCGCTAACATTCAGGCAGGTTACAGCTGCTAATCCTTCATTCCCCAATGGATCCCGCTAACATTCAGGCAGGTTACAGCTGCTATAATCCTTCATTCCCCAATGGATCCCGCTAACATTCAGGCAGGTTACAGCTGCTATAATCCTTCATTCCCCAATGGATCCCGCTAACATTCAGGCAGGTTAGAGCTGCTAATCCTTCATTCCCCAATGGATTCCGCTAACATTCAGGCAGGTTACAGCTGCTAATCCTTCATTCCCCAATGGATCCCGCTAAAATTCAGGCAGGTTACAGCTGCTAATCCTTCATTCCCCAGTGGATCCCGCTAACATTCAGGCAGGTTACAGCTGCTAATCCTTCATTCCCCAATGGATCACGCTAACATTCAGGCCGGTTACAGCTGCTAATCCTTCATTCCCCAATGGATCCTGCTAACATTCAGGCAGGTTACAGCTGCTATAATCCTTCATTCCCCAATGGATCCCGCTAACATTCAGGCAGGTTACAGCTGCTATAATCCTTCATTCCCCAATGGATCACGCTAACATTCAGGCTGGTTACAGCTGCTAATCCTTCATTCCCCAATGGATCCTGCTAACATTCAGGCAGGTTACAGCTGCTAATCCTTCATTCCCCAATGGATCCTGCTAACATTCAGGCATGTGTACTAACAACACTAAGAAGACAACTATCACTGACACCCAGCCAGATTATTTCTTTGATAGTGTGACAAGGCAATCACAAACTGTTATCTTCACCCCACTTCAGCATTTATTTTCCAGTGCAGTTATGCAATCTGGTGACATTATCTTCAATCTAGACCACAGCAAGGATAAAAACCTGCAGTATTGATTACATCAGGAGAAAAACTAATGTGATTAATGGTATATTTACACAATAATTGTTAACTTTCTAATGACTGACATCTCTCTCTCACCCCCCCCCCCCCCCCCCTTTTTTTTTTTCCTCCTACTCTCTTTTAGAGAATGCAATAACTGAAACTGATTTTTGTTTCCCTGTGTGCTTTTTTAAGCTACATTTTACATGGAGACTAGGTTCGTTAGACACTAACTATTAATGGGAACTCACTTTATCTTCTGAAACCTCAATTTAAGGTTAAATTATACGTATAATTAGGTAGCGATGTGGGAACTGTTGGCAAAACTGTGCATCATTTAATGCAATATTGCAGCACTGAGAGGTTTTTAATTTTCCTAGGCAATTTTATGTTCAGCAGACTGCCGGTGTTTCCCGAACAGTCAATACAAGAGAATAACGTCAAAATCAGTGCTCGCGAACAGCCGGTACTCGACAACACTGTCAAAATCAATGCAAAATGGTCTGCTGCAAAACAGCTGGAATCGAAGCGTGTACCTTGGCCTACACCTCAGCTACAAAACACCCCTCATATAAATGCTGGAAATTCAATCAAATAACTCAATGCTGGGTTGACAAGATGGTGCAGGCACAAGTATTGTGTTATCACCAAAGTGCACACAGATACTAGGTCATGGCACCAAACAACGTTACTCACTTGTCACTGCGTCTTTTCCAGATTTATCAATCAGTGCCTCCAAGTTCAGAAGTGGATGAACAAACAGAACTTTCAGCCGGTGTTTACAGTTGGAAATAAGGAGAAGGAGGAGCAGGAGAAGAAGAAAGAAAGAAAGAAAGAAAGAAAGAAAGAAAGAAAGAAAGAAAGAAAGAAAGAAAGAAAGAAAGAAAGAAAGAAAGAAAGAAAGAAAGAAAGAAAGAAAGAAAGAAAGAAAGAAGATCAGTAGTTTGTCCTTCTTGTTCATATTTACAACAATGAAGCACTGCTTTAGTTCTACCAATATGGCATGCATCTAAAGATTATTTCATAATATATCATAGTACTAAAAACCATCAGACTGATCACATTTTTATGATGTGGGCAAATACTCCAAGGTCAGACTGTGTACATAAACTACGTACATGGGACAACACTACAGATAGAAAGAACTCAAACAAATGCACTAATCACCGAATGACTGTCAGCAGCAAAAGGTCAGCAATGGTAACTGATATGCCCATTAGGTAAGTGGAATGTACCAGCTAACGAGAATCATATTTGTTCTCGAGCCCTCTAACACGTGACTAAGTTTTTTTTTTTTTTTAAACAACGTATGATCATGTAATAGATAACAAAGGTCACTATTAACACAGTTATTATGTTAGATTTCTTTCAATGGATCTGTTGCTGATCTGGCTTATTATCATGAACAAAAATTCTCTCAGTCTCTCTCTCTCTGCTCCCCCCCCCCCCCCACCCCACGGATTGTGATATGGACAAGGAATATGAATACATAATAAACTTACTGCTGATTGTTAATCAGTTAACAACTACAATGATGTGATGATTCAAAAAGGGAACATTGTTTTCTAATATATATATATAATAAACAGACACAATTGACTGTCACTCAAATAATAAAAAAAGCAGACAGAACAAATAGAAGGAAGGACACACTGACTTAGGTTAGGTGTCTAAGTCATGTAGTGAGGTGTTGTCCTAATTTGGATGTGACACATCAATTCCTAGCATGGTAACAACAGCTTGCAATTGTTATGTTGTCTAGTGTATCTTTCTATTGTTCTACTTCTTTCTATGAGTGCTGATCATGTCCAATAATTTATTATATATACTGTTTCTATGCCCTTCAAGGTACACCGTCTGTTTTTTAGAGACAGGCTCTGAGACCGATCCAGCCTAAGATAGGTATCAAGAAATGTTCTGGGAAGTAAAGGCAGTCTGCATGATACTAACTAATTCATATGTCGAGTACCAGTCTAGGGATTGCACCATATACCTCATAATCTTCATGGTGTGAAAAAAGGTCTTTTGCATTTACTTAGTTTAGTGGCTTCTGTTTCTTCTTGTTCGTGCTCACCAGTTGTAAACTCCAGCGGAAAGTTCTGGTTGTTTGTCCATATCTGGACTTTAGTCTTGTATAAGAACTGCATGCACATGTGTTTTAAAGAACTAACAACTATCTAATAGACCCAGTGCCCCCCCCCCTTTTTCCCCATAAGCATGTCGTGGCAGTTGACTAAGTAGGAGCTTTCTTTGCAGTCAGAGTGCATCTGCCCGAGAGGCAAGGAACCAACAGTCTGCAGATTCTGGAAAAGGACTAGAGTCCAGAAGTGGACAGAAAACCAGAATTTTCCACTGGAATTTACAACTAGTGAACGTGAAGAATGAAAGAGAAGAAGAAGACGAAACTCCTTCAGATGAAATGAGCTAAAGTAACAACAACCTAGGACTCAAAAAGCTACCACTGCATTACAGAAGCTCCCTATCTTGTGGCTGAGTAAGACTTACTTTCTCAGTCCCACTAGATTACAGTCTCATGAGTTTCTTAACTTCTTTTCCTGAGGTTATCATTCTTATCATCAGAAAGCCATCAATCAATCTGTATGATTCTTCGCCTGGAGCTGTCCTCTTGTGACAAATGTATGAAACCTACTAAACAACTAATTACACATTTACACAAAACATACATTTATCTTCTCTGACTTGGACTCTCTTTGCATAACAGCTGTCTGCCTACCCAAAGTGTTGCACAAAGCCCAAACTCTGTAGCTCCAGCAACAATTCTGGGAATCTGTAAAACCATGAGCTTCAGAGCAGGAGGTTTGACAGATCAATAAATCGATCAATCAGTGTGTCCTCTCTGTGCTGCTACCTGAAGGTGTACCATACCATCCTGGTTATAAACATCTCAATCTGGACATCAGACCAACAAAGCAGACCCCAGATAGCCTGTAACATCTTTACAGGCCAGGGGTAAACTGCAGTCCTATTCAGGTAAGGATGTACAGAGCAGGAGGTAAAACGGCCTAACCATACATAACCCCACAAGACAAGACATGCATACTTACATCTACATCTGTGGGGTCTGTCAGGAAGGAGTTTGCCAGATCTGGCTGGGGAGCACTGCTGGGCGCCTGCAGGTGGTACTGATTGTGCTGAGGTACTTGCACTGGAACACTGCTGGTTGGTAATGAATGAACTGGGATGTGGGAACCATGGTGACCGTTGCTCAGAAAATGCTCAACTTGCCTCTTCTGGCTCTCCTGGACGTGATATCTGGTGGGATGCTGCAATGGTGTCTTGACCTGGAAGTGAAAGTCATTCAGTGTATGAAACCATCATGTTTTACCTACTGCACACTTCTCCCTGGGCATTTTGGAAGCACTGGCAGTCTTCTTCTGCTGTGTTGGCCCTTAGAAGGGTCTGTTTCTTAGCGATCATCCGCTGTAAACTTTGCTGGAAAGTTCTCCTTGTCCATTACTCATGAGCTTTGGTCTTGATCCAGAATGTGAGTTTTGTCTGCACATCCAATTTACAGATCAGGCTTATCTGTATGCAGACAGCTGGTTCTTTGCCTCTCAGAAATATTTATTCCTACATTGAGGAAAACACTCCTTATGATATGCTGGTTGGGGGAGCAGTGGGTCTAAGCTTTGTTTTTTAAAACAGAGTCCTGATTCCAATATGGAGGATCTAGGATGTCACATATATGCCCCTTGTGGCCTGACAACACATTCCTAAATAGTTGGCACTTATGAAATATGTGTGTGAGGGGAAAGGGGGGGGGTGGGAATGGGGGGGGGGGGGGGGGGGGGGGGGGGGGGGGGGGGGGGGGAGGGGGTTTAAGCAGTTTATCTATTCTTTTTCCCATCAGACCAGGACACTGGAACCCATATGGTGATCTGACAATGAAGCACCTTTAAAATGTGGGGGATGACAAGCCTAGACCCAGAGCCACCCCCACCCCACCATTCATGCTGTGTTAAATCATGACCTGCTGACATCCTCAAATGCCTATATGTATTTGTGAAGTGCAGGGCTGGTCTTGCAAGTGCTGCTATTTTCTGGGTTTATAGACATGGAGGACAGTTCTGCAAGACAGATCCCGATCAGTCAACTCTTATGACATGCTTGTTGGAGAGGCAGTGGGTCTATTCTTGGTTTCCCCATATTGGGGCTCCAACATGGGGCACACAAGAAAACAAGCAGCTGAAGTTATCAGAAAAGCAGAAAACAGTTGGAGGACAAGATCATAATTACCTGCAAGATATTGGGCGGAACTTGTGATGCGCTGACCACCCTTGGAATTGTAATGCCTGTAGACCCTGTGACATGAGTGCTGACTTTAAATGACTGCGAAAATTGCTGTTCACGTTTTTCTTGTTGGTAGAGCTGTTGTTTATCTAGCTGTTGCCTTAGATTTGTTCTCGTAGGCGGGGTTGTAACTTTAATATCTGTCACCGGGCTGAAATATAAAAATAACATGTCATAAAAAAATCTGGCAATTTGTGCTTTCACAAGCTAATTACTGAGGAAACAATTTAATACTAGACGATTTTCTTTTCACGTAACATAGACCATAATTCAAAGATAAAACTTTTACTTCTGATTAGGTTTGGTATCTTTGTAAAGAGAAAATACACTTTTCTGGTCTTTGGTGTGTTTTGAAACAAGTCTTTACCTTATACCAGGGATATTCAATTATCAACCCATGGGCTCCAGCTCACAAAGGACTAACAAACAGCCTGTGGATCACTGCAAGCTGAACTGTAGAATCGATATGTCACCACCGATGCTTAGGCCTCTGGCCCATGAGACATGGCAGCTATGTTATCATACTGGTGTACAAACAAGATGCTAGAATTGCAGAGAGTGCCAGACTTAGTGCTGACTAAAAGCAGTATTTAGGGATCAATGATGCTGCTAATCCTGCTTTCTCTTTGGGTGCCTCTCTGGACTAGACACCAGAGATCATGACTGATAAATGTTTTTTGTTATTTTAAGGGCAGTTGGTAATCTGAATTACTATTAACCTTTTTTGCACACAGAGGCCGCAAAAGTGACACTTCCGGATTGGTTCAATTCCCTGTAAATTATGTCACTAGAATAGAATGTAGATAAATGAATTTTGTACGTTCGTTTTTTCCATCGATTGTCTAGAATTTCAAGGCATCAATTCTATGTGTTCCTTGGACAAGAGGGTTAAACAGTCAACTGTTTAGTACTTCAAGAGTCAACACTCTATTCATACGGCATTTGTCGAACTTTCTCTTATTTCCTAGCATAAACCTCATCGCCTCGTATACCCAATCAGAAGTGGGTACTGTTCTGTTATGTATCTCTTTTTAATTATAGGCACTCTTCCGAATACCGGTCACTGTTTAAAAAATCCCATTCAGGGCCTCAAGAGCAAACTCTTGAGTCTTCGGTAGTACAGTTGTAAATATTCCGCCTGTCACACAGGTGATCGGTGTTCCATTCCCAGCCGGGTGATCCATTTTATTAGCCCTTGAAAGAGCAGTAGCGATATCTGCGCCTTTTGACCCAACACATCTGATTTCAGCAAAGTCCTAATTAGTCACTTTTTTACAACATGCTTTTCAGGTGGCAATGGATCTATTCTTTTTGTTTCCTTCAAACATGTGGCCCTGGAATCCACAAGGCAAGTCACAGGTAATGTGAACAATAGATCAAAAACTATGCCTCACCACGACGCTTTAATGGATAAAAAACTACTCCTCCCACAGGGCTTACACAGGGGATCAAATTCTATTCCTCCCCATGCCACTTCAATGGATCAAAATCTATTCCTCCCCACGTCGCTTTGTTTAACGTCTAAACATTGCTATCCATCGAGCAATCGCTGCAGAAGTGGAAACTGATGATAATTGTCTAAATGTTTTCACTACATAAACTCTTGAGGCTCTAAGAGGGATGTTTTTCGCAGTTAATAATTTGGGACAAGTATTTGGAAGAGTGCCCTGTTCTGTTATGTCTGTCTTAGGGGTATCGAACGCCTCGACCTCTGCGGAATATTGTACCGTGAGAGGTAGCTAGCAGTGGTTTGTGTCACGTCCTGTAAATTCAAACCAACTGGCTGTTTGTCTACTTTATAATCTATATTGATCTATGAGAAGAAAAGTAAGTCTCAGACCTGGAAAGATGGTCACAATGATGAGAGGTTATTTTTTTTTTTTTTACATATCCAGAAGCTATGAGTTAACTCTTTGGCTCTCCTTTCAACTACAGCCGGTAGACAACAGTAGACGGCCGGTTAGTCGGAGTTCTGTCCCCTTGCTGCAGTGCAATTACGGAGTGGAAAGGAGGGAACGAAACAAATGACATAAATACTGTGTGTTGGCGATAGACAGCGAGCACTGGCCTGCTATAATCATACGGTTACGGTTTGGGTTAGTTGGGTTAGGGTTAGGGGGTAGGGTGTGGGTTAGGGTTAGGGTTACGGTTAGTGTCGCCGCATCTCGTCTTCGCACAAATTCATAGTAGCAACCCAAACCCAAATCCTAACCGTATGATGACAGTAGGGCACTGCACGCTGTCTATCGCCAACACACAGTAATTATGTCACTTGTTTCGTTCCCTCTATTCCACTCCGTAATGCGTCGCAAGAAGCGGTAATTGAACACGGTCGCTAATTTGAGTCGCAGCGCGGGGTCTGCCAGGCATGTCGACTCACTGTGTTTTTTTATTCCTGCCTTCTCCAGTCCATAATTGCACTGCAGCCAGGGGACAGAATTCCGACTAACCGGCCGTCTACTGTTGTCTACCGGCCGTAGTTGAAAGGAGAGCCAACTCTTTGGCTAGGTACTATGGATATCGCCGGCCTTGATTCCATGATAGATACCGTGACTCTGGGAGAATTGTGGCTTTGCTGCCAACCCCTGGACCACAAGGAGTTCGTCACCCGGTCGCCGCGAAGTCATGTTTAACCAACTAAGCTAGCGAGCCCGGCGCAATGATGAGATAAGCTTGTTTATAAGTAAAGTTATATTAAAATATATCCTGGAACTTAATAATAGTATTATATCAAGAGTATCTTCCATTTTCCTAAAATGTCTTGTTAAAAAGATAGTTGTGAGCTTGGACACTAAAAAAATAACGTGTTGTGTTTGTAGAACATCATGTAAACAAGTCTACCTGCCGGCGACATGTCAGTTTATTGATTCACGTCCCTATTTAATAGGAGCAAGCAGAGCTGCAAAAACACACCTCCCTTCTCATGACCTGAATGCACAGTCGGCTCTAGAAATTAAACACTGCTTCCATTTACATTTTTAACCAGTTATAAATCAACACAAATAACGATGTGAAGACGATGTCATCTTTTGAATAAACAGTTACAAATATTGTTATTTTAATTAACTTTGTTTGTACAATCTCACGTTTAGGTAAAACAGAAAACTGCCACCCACCTGGTAACGATCACTTTACTCTTCACATCATAAAATCTGCTTTGATCGAAAGCAGGGTCAATTTCCGAATAATCACAGCTCATAAAATCCACTTCAATGCCGGAATCGGCCATCCTCTCAGGACGGAACATGAGAACGCCGTCACACGATCGCTGACATGAAATAAATCCCAGAAAATAACCAAATTTTCTTAAGATAACCTAGAAATGTCTCCTTCCAGTTTAAACGGCCGTCCCTCGTCTGCTGTTCTCACAACCCACAATTCCCTTCCCGGCTTCCGGCATTCCGGGTGATATCGCCATCGAATAATCTGATTGGCTGCCTGCCCGTATAAAACCAATTTTCATTCGCTGACTATTCTTAGCTCAACGTGACAGTGATTTCCCGGGGAATTCCCTGAACTTTACCCGTCAACTTTTCTAGGGAAACATTTCGATGTCCGCATTGTTTTTTACTTGTTTTGGTCACACGCCTCATCAAAAAGTGTGGGTGACTTTTGTCTTTTTCTCAGAATAGTCTGCCCTTGCTAAAATAACTCATCGTGTCTGAAAGGTAAGACTTTGAAGGATCTCACGCAAGGTAGTCATGCATTACTCAATCAACCGATCATCCTCATTGCACATCGATTATTATTAATTATTGTAATAGTTATTATTGCGCAGTTTAACAAGGCTTAAACCATTTTATACCGTTCTCCACTATAAATACTGTTTAAGGAAACTCAATGGTCTTTATCCTTGTTTAACTGCGCAGCAATATGTATTATTATTACTATGATTATTTGTTTTGTTATTATGTGCATCATAGCAAATGCAAAAAAAAAAAAAAAGTATTGAGGACATTATGGAATGAATACACATTTAAAGAAACGGCTTTATATAGTAGGGGGAGGGGTGCTTGGGGGATGACCCCAGAATTTATCATGGGTCTTAACATTTTTTCGGGAGAACAACAAAACCTTCCACCACTAAGTTTGAGAATGGATGTGGAGGCGATCATTACATCCTTCTTTTAACACACATTTCGGTGCTGTAACTGAATCAGAGAGCAATGTTTGAGGAGGGTGGGGGAATGTGGTCAGGTAGTCCATGCAGACTGGGAAGCATCGCTTCAGAGGTACTGGGTTGTTGTCGTTATTTGGATATTTTCTCCAGTTTATGCCGGTGTGCTGGGAAGCCAACGGTCAGATATACTGATGCTCAACACTTGGGGAAAAGACGACACGGATATACAAATAGGTTGTTAATGATGCCATCAGAATCATACTTCTTGTATGTCCAGTGTGCATCTCATGCCTGGCTGTGATATCTTCACTCCCTCTTCTCGCATTCTTAACAGTAATGTGGATACGCTCCTCCCCAAACAACCCGATCATCGTTTAACACTAAGGGCATTAATAATGTAAACGCGATCCAGAGGTCATCTGCAGCTAAGGCAACGACAGCCGGAATAACTAACATGGGTTGCTGTAAATAGCAAACTAGAAAACTGTGTACGCCCATAGGAGAGAGACCCCCAGGATTCACTTGTCTAATGTAAAGAGAGGCTTAATAGAAATTAGTGATGACTGGACAAATCACCAGTAGAAGAGACAGACCCATAAAGACAATGGTTCTGCTTGCTTGAGAATCAGCTGTACACATATGCCGTGACTGTAACCGACTCACAGAGCATGTTGAGAAAGGCGGAGGTAGGCATGCTCCAGCCAGAGTGGCAAACATTACTTCAGAGGTCCTGGTAGTTGGCGTCCTTTGGATATTCTCTCCATGTCATTCCGGCGTGTTGGGAAATGAGCCGGTAGATAGACTGACCGGTTCTGCAATACTTGGCGGTGATTTGGTGTATAACAAGTTAAATGTTGTGATTGCCCTTTGGGAACGAGTGAACATTGCGGGGACACAGATAAATCTCTAAAGGTCTGCGGAGAGTAGAAGCTGCGGAGATTTACCAGGGGATCTGACCGACGCTCTTCACTCAAGGGAATGGAGAGACAGATATACAATCAGAAAGTTACTAGTTTAGTTTATACAACGTATCAATATCATGGCATAAGGGTTAGTAACACAGAAATGATTTGTTCTACCTCTAACTCAAGTGTGAGTCCGAAGAATCTCAGCGAATTGCACCAACTACGTAGCACTGGCGAGGATCCTGAAATACTTTGAGTAGATTTTCAACTCCAAATTTTTCCCGTGCAGCGCCTTTAGGCTACTCTTTCGATTTCCAACTGCCAAGGGATTTTGTTACGTGGGCAATATTATACACGAAAGTTACTGGTATCATCGGAATTAAAACTCTTCGCTTGTGCTGAAGATGGGGACGGCGTGCTTATGATGTCGATTCTTAATTAACATTCAACATTTGACGGTCTGAAGCGATGGCATGGATGGCAAACTACAACTGCTTCTATTACTATTACAGTTGCTCAGCTTGCTTCTATTATTTTTCCTTTTACCGCCAACACTACTACTACTACTACTACTACTACTACTACTACTACTACTACTACTACTACTACTACTACTACTACTACTACTACTACTACTACTACTACTACTACTACTACTACTACTACTACTACTACTACTACTACTACTACTACCACTACTACTATTACTACTACTACTACTACTACTACTACTACTACTACTACTACTACTACTACTACTACTACGACTACTGCAGCTGCTGCTGCTGCTACTATTACTACTTTTATTACTACTACCACCACCTGGAAACTATGAGCTCAGATCCCACACTCCTCTCTTCACCATCCCCTCCCTTCCCTCTCTTTTTTTTAACCACTGGTGCCATTTTCATTTTATATCACGTGACACATAGAACATTCTGGAAAGAGATGAATCTCATTCACCTTAGCGTTCATTGCCTGTGCAAACACTCCATCTCTTTATTGATTACTCCAGCGACTGTATCTTTTTCTGAACTCCGCGTGTCACACTTAGTTGTCATATTAACTGCTACAATTCCAGTTGTTATCATAACCACTACTTTTACAAACGCTTATTAAAGTAAGCTTTTTCTGTTTCATGAACTAATCAGTTTAATTTCTCCCCCCCCCCCTCCCCCCCCTCCCCCGCACCTCCAATGTGTTCTAATTAAATCTACTGCTACATGCAGTGAGAGACTTTACTCAAGCAACAAGATCGACTGATGTATTCATGATTTTACTGTGAGCGAGTACATGCCCGCGTGCATCCGCGTGCCGTCTTCACAACGATGGTTGGTTGCAGTGTACCGCTGCTGTCTTTGCGAATATCGTGTCGAGGGCCCTTTCTCTTCCATGACGCCACTCACACATACAATTGTCCAAAACCTACGAGAACTTTCTATGTGTAGCCGTCCACGTGATTACATTTGCAGAGATAAATTAAATGTGCTTATTGTCAAATTATGTTAAGACAAGTGCATTGGTCTGTCAAATATATGTGACCTCGCCCTCCTCCTCTTTCCCCCGCCTCTTTCTCCTCTCCCCCTTCATGATCATCATAACCATCATCATTCACATTTACTTCTGTTTCTGTTTTTCAACGCTCTCAGGCCCCTCTGGTTCCAGACTTCATGCATATTTATCGAATATTGATTATATAATAAATGTATGGCAACATTATATACCAACAATACTTTTGCGGCTTGAAAAAATATTTGATACTTTACGAAGTTTTACACGTTAGCAGTAATATCAACAATTCACTTTTTAGCTGTGAGACATTCCTATAATAAGATAATGTATCTAAACCCTCATGAATCATTCCTGACAATTCTTTCGGAATTCAACAAACATCTAGACAAACAAGGTGTGTTTAGCTATAGCCATGAGAATATAACTAGCAGAAGCCGCTTTGGTCGATCAGTAGTGGAGTCTGCAAATTCGACTTGTCTCTTACATCATAATCGATTAACCCATTTTCCTACAATTTGCACGGTGATTATGTTTTCTTCGCAAGAATTGTGTACTTCAAGCGGCGCGTTATTACATTTCAGACACACCGACTTCGATTGCTGGGGGAAAAAAACTGGGGAAAGGGGGGGGGGGTGGTGTTATTCATGCCTATGGATGCATCTCTCTCTCTCTCTCTCTCTCTCTCTCTCTCTCTCTCTCTCTCTCTCTCTCTCTCTCTCTCTCTCTCTCTCTCTCTCTCTCTCTCTCTCTCTCTCTCTCTCTCTCTCTCTCTCTCTCTCTCTCTCTCGGCTTCGTGTGTAAGTGTTTGCTACGTCTGCGTTGTATATGTTTCACGTATGTATGTGTATGCATGTTTGAAGTAACGCATTTGACATCCATGCTTTTTATTTTTACTTAAAATATTTACTAATTGTACTATGTTGTTTGATATGTGAACATAACAGGTTAATTAAATAAAGTACTACTTTCGTGTGACAGATAAGTGTTTATGAAAGAGGCGAATGTAAGACAGCCCGGCGTGACCACTCTGTCGTCCTTTTGGAAATAAAGTTTGTCGTTTTGTCCCCTTCTGCGTGTCTGGTTCCCTGTTGTTCTGATATCAGACTAAACTCTACTTTAGCGTCACACTCTCATTCTCATCCTCTCTGTTTACTGTCTCAGTCTCACCGCCCGGCTAATCCAGAATGCAGCGAATGCCTTTTGCAATAGGACACAAGCGTTGCGTGTGCAACTACTGATCTGTTTTTAACTGCTCCACAACTTACGATGAACTACATTTCTAGTCTAATGGATGCCTTATGCATTTATTGCTTAAATATGCTATTGACTTTACCGAGACTGCAGTCTGTGTCAGTTTTAGTGACAAGGGACTGTGATGAACATTCTGTGTGACACAGAAACGGGGCGACTATGTTTAACATGAAGTTGCCATTACGATTACTTTCTTATTTTTCTTAGCGTTCACCGGCTCTCAACTCAAGTGGACGACTCTGGTTATTCCTCCACCTCTGGACTTAAGTCTTGTTTCAGAATCTGAGTGCCGCGTGCACATCCGTTTAACACATCTGGCTTATATGCATGTAGACTGCTGGTTGCATACCTCTCAGGCAGATGCACTCCAACTTCAAAAGCACCTCCCAATTATTCGACTCTTACGATTACATGCCTTTAGGGAGGCAGTGGGTCTGGGTCTATTATTGTTTTCTCCCACACTGGGGCCTTGGAACCCACATTGGGGTCTTGTAACCCAAACTGGGGCCTTGGAACCCACACTGGGGACTTGGAACCCACACGTGGAGATACTACCTGATAATCTGGGCTTTGGATAAAATAACAGGGGCAGTTACTCGTTAGAAGGGACTACTTCATTAACAGGGTTGTCTGCCTAAATGAACAGTGTGGTGAACTGCTACTGACCTGACACCTAGAAGTACCAGATTCTGGTTTGTCTACCACGAAGCACAACGTTATTTTGTTCAATGGCATTTAAAAAAAAAAAAAAAACTACACACTGCACCCCACCCTCACCGGTACAAGAAAATATGTTCACAGACAGCTATATCCCTAGTGAGGTTAAAGAGTTTAAAATATAATTATAATTATTCACTACCTGAAACCTACTCTGAAATCATACAATTATAACGGCTTTTAAAATAGAAGATAATTCTAGAATGTCGAGCGTTTCGATCCTTGACTTGCTTGCGTTCCTCCATCGACCAACTAACTGTGTTGCTTGCGTTCCTCCATCGACCAACTAACTGTGTTGACAAGGAACTAACAAGAGAGGTAATTGCGGTAGGAATATCGAACAGTATAGAACAGTGGAAGAGTTGTCTACCTTTACACAGATAAATTGTGATAAAATTATATTCTACTTATTTCTGGCATCAGTTATTATCTCTAAGGCGGGGTTTAATGCCTCGGCGGCTGAGTGGTGCTCTTACAATGTTTAGTGAGGTGTTCTTATTTATGACTATGTCGAGATATGTGTTTATTTGTGCAATAATTCCTTTCCTGCGTTGGTCAAGGTTGCACCAGCATACAGTGGCTGTGACCCAATTATAAATCGAATCTACCAATAATAATTACCGGGTCCCAATGTTCTCTCATTCTTTCAAAGCCCACCCTACCTGTTGCCGGGGGCCTTAATATAACACAACCTATGGGTTGAACGGGATCTTTGAGATATAACTCCGGGTGATCCTCATCTGAATGGTGGTACGTTGTGTCACCGGGTGTTAATCGCTCGGTGTGATGTCGTGGTGGGCTCGAACATCAGTCACTATATTTTTTTTATCTCTAAAGTCAAAAGGGATCTTTGACCTTTACCATGATGGTCTGCCATCCTGATTGAGATTGTGTAATATTAGGGTGTTGAAAGGGATTCACGTGTTAGTTGTGAGATACAGTTTAATAGTTATTGTCTAGGTGACAGTCCTAGGATATATTGTCACTGCTTCTAATAGTGTAAAAGGTAAAGTCAGGAGATGTGAGCCAGCGTCATTGCACACGGTTATAAATCTTAAGTGTTCTGCCACAATTCAGACCGCTGATAAGAAACGGCCCGCCTATGTAACCGTCCGCAAGCAACTCCGTAGCTACAGCGACGTTTCTCCATCCACCCCAGAGTGTTAACTCTGGTACCCCTTACCTCGGTTTCGAACACCGGCCGTGTGCTGCAGCGAGTCGCAGCTGGATTTGAAAGCGAGTCTCCTATCGACTGCGCTATCGCGGCCCCCTTCTAATAGGTTATAGGTACATGGGTGTCTGAGCGTATACAGTGTCTGTTTTTCTTTTTCCCTACATGTGTGCGTGTTTGTATGCGTGTGTGTCTGCCTGTCATACTATGATGAGTAATTATAAAAGTAATACAAATAATAATAACAATACACTTAAACAAGTGGCGTGGAACCACTGTGGTGAAGCAGCTAGGGCACTCATCTGTGGTTCCGAAAGTGGTATTTTGAAATCAGCATGTACTCGGATTTTTTGTCATACATTAACATGGCTACCAGGTCGACCCAGCTTTAAATAGGCAAAGTTTTGTGAAGTAGAAGCGGCCGGCGCTCCATTTCAAGGATCCTTTACTTACCCCCCCCCCCCTCCCCCCCTTCAACCCACCCTAAAAACGTGTTATTGTGTTGGCAACCAACCCCTTCCGAGTCGCCTACACAGAGACTGTCGAACCAGGCGACACCATAATAGGGCGGCATAATCAGCGAAATCAAAATAATATTTGAACAGTTTAGGGGCGGCATTTCGAAGACTTGCATCATACTGTGAAAATCTACCGCACGGCCCCGCGCCCTATCTCCGTGATTTCTTTGTGTCGGTACTCCTGGTCTGACACGACAATATATAATCCCTGCCCCCTCACTAATCCATTAACATAAACAGAGTACTATGTTTTGACTGAGTTGCAAATATACTTACTATGTTCTGACAGAGTTACAAATATACTTACTATGTTTTCACTGAGTTGCAAATATACTTACTATGTTCTGACAATTGCAAATATACTTACTATGTTTTCACTGAGTTGCAAATATACTTACTATGTTCTGACAGAGTTGCAAATATACTTACTATGTTCTGACAGAGTTGCAAATATACTTACTACGTTCTGACAATTGCAAATATACTTACTGTTTTCACTGAGTTGCAAATATACTTACTATGTTCTGACAGAGTTACAAATATATTTACTATGTTTGACTGAGTTGCAAATATACTTACTATGTTCTGACAGTTGCAAATATTCTTACTATGTTCTGACAGTTGTAAATATACTTACTATGTTCTGACAAAGTTGCAAATATACTCACGATGTTTTTACAGTTACAAATATACTTACTATGTTTTGACAGAAATACAAATGCACTCACTTTGTTTTGACAGAGTTACAAATATACTTACGATGTTTTGACAGAGTTCCAAATATACTCACGATGTTCTGACAGAGTTACAAACATACTCACGATGTTTTGACAGAGTTACAAAAATACTCACGATGTTTTGATTATCCTAATCTTCTCTATCCGCCCTGGAGCCCTGCGGTTTTTCAGCAGACTTCTGAACACCAACGACTTTTTACTCCCATCTTTGGCTTTGGCAACCAAGATCACAGTATCCATTGGCAACACTGGACATTTGTTGGATGGCTGTCTGGTTTGTATAACTGGCGTGGGAGACGACGGACAGGAGCTGTTGTCAGTCTGTGTGTCCAGGGTATCTGTGTCACTCTCCGTCTCATCCTTAAACGGGAAAGGGCACAGCAGGCTGTCTGTCACCACCATGCTGGTAGCGTAGCCTGTAGCTTCAGTAAAGCTAAAGCCTGGATGTCCAGTCGCCAAGCCCACCTGGAAAGGGTAATAGCCCGTCTGGAACGAATCCAGATGTTGCTTAAAATTCACAATGACTATTTTTCCGGAAATGCTGCTGCTTTTTCTCGTTGGCTTCAAAATTGTGAAAAGTTCCGGTTTTGAAATGAACCGGATTATTTTGTCAATGAAAACGCAGTGAAAGGATGGCCAGTGCACTACACAAGAATTTACAACAGTATTGAAAAACAAATACGTAGCGCGGATTTTTCCGAGAAAGTTTTTGCTTTTTCCGGAGAATAACTTCTTCAGTTAATATAGAGAGTTGTTCATGCTTCTCGATTGAGTAGAACAAGTTGTGTCTGATATTGTAAGTGCTCAACTGATTGGCAACTAAAGATAAAGGGAAATAATCGCACAGATTTGGCGCGAAGCTTAAGCTTTGTGCAAAAGTGACCTTGCCTGCCCTTATAAGTCCTTGGAATTGTCTGTCACTATAGAACAGCGAATTTCACTTCATATTGACCTGAAAATAAATGAGAGATGCAATAGATTTTAGTCAAAATTTCATTCAATTTAACAACGTTCACTTCCACATGAGTCAGTGTCAATGAAACTCTTTACAAAGCATTTAGTTACTCAACCAAAGAAAGAATGCCACAGAATATAATGACACATTGCAACGAGTACGTCACCTTTTCTAAAGACACTTGGCAGTTTTCGCACACTTCGGCAAAACCGCAACCGATTGCGGAGGCGGCACCGTTGCCGGTCAGGGGCTATTTTCACACATACCGTCACTGGTCTGAGTGGTCTGGAAGCATGGCAACCGCCTCGAGTGCAGGAGGTCCCGAGTTCAAGCCCCGGTGAAGGCTAGGATTTTTCACGTGGTCTTCTAGTGATTTTCTCTGGTCTCTGTGTAGTGAAATCGGACGCCCGTGTGTATTTTTACACGTAGATTTCAGAATCCTCGCCGGTGCCACAGAGTGTGCACTGCGCTGAGATTCTTCGGACTCAGGCTTGAGTCAGAAATAAAACAGAGCACTTATAAGTTACTACCCTTGTGTCATGATGTTGATCTGTCACCTAAAACCTAAAAACTAAAAACCCAAATACATGCCTTCAAACCCAGGGCCTATGCCATTGCAATTTACGATCTGTCAAGATCAGCATCGGCTACATTTGACGGTGTCGGCTGCCGGAGCGGTCACTCTGCTGGACAGGCCTCTGTGTGAAAGCTTACATTTGATTACGTTGCATCCGGTGCAGAGTCTCAGTCACAGATTCCGGTTTTGCCGTAGGTGTGAAAACGTCAATGCAGTGATTACTAGCACCGTGTTTTTTTTTTTCTTTAAAAAAAAATAAAAAATCTCTGTATAAAGTTATTTTTCTAATCGGGTTCAGTTTATCGATTAGTGTCTTATTGTATAATATTACATAGATTATGTATTAATTATAACAAATTCCAGAAAAAGAGATGTACCTGTAAAACGTATAATTAAATTTGTAATCCAAATTCGAACTGCCCGCTGCTCCTCAAGGCGTTATAATTCTAAATTCATCATCTCAGTACATACCTGAACTTAACAGTTCTATTATTATGTATTTTTCTCAATGAGAGGTAAGTCCAACCGGGCAGAATATGCGTAAGTAAACGTTACAACCGGATGACTTTCACCCTCAGTTTATACAGCCGACCGGTAGATAAATATGTGTGGCAAGCATTTCAGGGTATCCACGGGCCCGGACATCCTCGTCAGGAATGTTTGTTGTTCAGGCAATGACATGGGCGTCGGAACTTGAGGGCTCAGTCGCACTGAGAACTTCTGCCCCCCCCCCCCCCCACTCCTCATGGGTAGAAAAGGTAAGTAAAATAAAGGACCATTTTCCACGCCTTTGGGTGAATTTAGGAATATAAGGCTAGAAATTTAGTTTTATCCTATAGGCACTTGTTAGGTGATGTCGTCAGCATGACCCCGGCCCACTCAAGGCTGGGTCGACTTGAGAGTCAAGGTCATTTTTGAAAATAGTCTGGCTCCGTCAGGACGCAAACCCACGACCCTCCGATCCGCAGGCGGGCGGGGTCGAAAATGTGCACGGAGCTAAATGCCATGACCGCTTCATTTATTCATCATCTTTAGAAGTTCTCTTCTTTTAAAGTATTTTTTAAATATATATATTTCATATTATTTCTAATAGAATATTTAGTTGCCATGATGAATATGATAATTATTATTAATAATATTATTATTATCATCATTATCATCATCATCATTTTTATTATTCTCCGAGCAGGTTCGAGGGCCCCATTGAGGAGAAAACAATAATAAACCCACCTGCTCCCCAGCAAGCATGTCTTAAGAGTCAACAAAATAGGGCTTTCTTCATCAAAGTCAGAGTACATATGCCTGAGGGGCAATGAACTAAAAATATGCATACAGATAAATCAGACCTTGAAACAGATGTACAGGCCACACTACGGTTCTGAAACAAGACTAAAATCCAGAGGTGGACGAAAAACCAGAACTTTCCGACCGGGGTTTACAGCCGGTAAATGCGAAAAAGAACATTAGTTTTATTTTTCTTAAGTGTCTTAAGCACCCCCCCCCCCCCTCTCTCCCCCATTCCCCCTTCTCAGAAAGTTATTAGGGACTGGACCTCCACACCAAGGATTTATTTGTGACGACGCCCCCAGCGTGTTTGTTTGTTTTTATGTATAACATGCCTTTGTAGTAATCAATGCATTTTTTTCTGGGGAATGCAATTGTAAGCAATATCGGAACCTTTCTCGAGGCATCACTTTTCCAGTGCTACTATGACAGATATGTTGTGGTAAATACCGGCACATTTTTAGACACATTTTGATGAGTGACGACAACTTTTTTATCCAAGAACATAAAGTCTTGGTAGTGGTACTTCTAGTAGTAGTAGTAGTAGTAGTAGTAGTAGTAGTAGTAGTAGCAGCAGCAGCAGCAGCAGCAGCAGCAGCAGCAGCAGTAGTAGTAGTAGTAGTAGTAGTAGTAGTAGTAGTAGTAGTAGTAGTAGTAGTAGTAGTAGTAGTAGTAGTAGTAGAAGAAGTAGTAGTAGTAGTAGTAGTAGTAGTAGTAGTAGTAGTAGTAGTAGTAGTAGTAGTAGTAGTAGTAGTAGTAGTATTAGTAGTATAGTAGTAGTAGTAGTAGTAGTAGTAGTAGTAGTAGTAGTAGTAGTAGTAGTAGTAGTAGTAGTAGTAGTAGTAGTAGTAGTAGTAGTAGTAGTAGTAGTAGTAGTAGAAGTAGTAGTAGCCGCAGTAGCAGTAGCAGTAGTAGTAGTAGTAGTAGTAATAGTAGTAGTAGTAGCAGTAGCAGTAGTAGTAGTAGTAGTAGTAGTAGTAGTAGTAGTAGTAGTAGTAGTAGTAGTAGTAGTAGTAGTAGTAGTAGTAGTAGTAGTAGTAGTAGTAGTAGTAGTAGTAGTAGTAGTAGTAGTAGTAAAAGTAGTAGTAGCAGCAGTAGTAGCAGCAGTAGTAGTAGTAGTAGTAGTAGTAGTAGTAGTAGTAGTAGTAGTAGTAGTAGTAGTAGTAGTAGTAGTAGTAGTAGTAGTAGTAGTAGTAGTAGTAGTAGCCACAGCAGCTGTAGCAGAAGTGTGAGTGGTGGTGGTAGTGGTGATGGAGGAAGAAGAGGAAGAAGACGAAGAAGAAGAAGAAGAAGAAGAAGAAGAAGAAGAAGAAGAAGAAGAAGAAGAAGAAGAAGAAGAAGAAGAAGAAGAAGAAGAAGAAGAAGAAGAAGAAGAAGAAGAAGAAGAGAAGAAGAAGAAGAAGAAGAAGAAGAAGAAGAAGAAGAAGAAGAAGGAGGGGGGGGGGGAGAAAGAGTAATACGATGAGTGGGAGTTTGAAGAAAGGGAATGAGAGAAGTGTGAGAAAAATGAGATGCGGAGATAAAAATAAAAGACAACATCAAGTAAAGAGACAACAAAAACCCCAAAACAGGCCAGACCAATATGTTAACTTTCACTCCGTGAGTTTGCATTAAGTGTTTTCCAAAATGGAAACAGGATATGTCATCAAAATGTGTGAACTTTGGCCCCGATAAAAAGGAAGCTTGTGGCAATAGAGACAATGTAATGACATGCTTGTGGTTATTTGTTATTTTCAGGTATTCACGGCTGGCTGGAGAAGACACCTGTCGCAAATCTGTAAATGATGAACTCTGTAAATATTTCAAAAAACCAGACACCTCGTCCAGTTTGTAAGGGTTTTGTTTCAATTGATTTGAAAAAGATATATAAAGCTATTTAGCTGAAAAGCTGTATACATCCTATTTTATTTACTGGTGTGAGTCGTGTGCAGTTGGTAAATTAGTGAAAACTTATTTACAGGCTGCGGAGATGTGGTTTTATAAACAAATGAATAAAATACAATGGACAGATAAAAAAAAAAAAAGTAAAGAAGTCTTAAAAGAAACTGACTCACGAAGAGAACTGATTATCCAAATCAGAAAGAGACAATCTGTAGTCTTTTTTCATGTGATGAGAAGGAGAAAACAGGAGTACATCGTGACGGTGGGAAAGTTGGAGGGAAGGAGAGGTAGAGTGAGACCAAGAGAACAGATGATGGTCAGTTTGATATCATAGCATTAAAGATCATAAACGTCAGGTAGAGCTTCAAATAACGAAACATTGCATCTCACAAAGGGATGACAAGATATTATTACTGAAAAAAAAAAAAAAAAACTATCAAGAAACTCACAAACTAATTTATGTAGCAATAAAGACACACATTGTTCAAGGAATCAATTACATACGTAAAGGTAAAGTCGGGAGGTGTGAACCAGCGTCATTGCACACGGTCATAAACCATAAGTGTTCTGCCACCAACACGGACAGCTTATAAGAAACTGTCCGCCTGTGTCGCCGTCCGCACGCAACTCCGTAGCTACAGCGACGTTCCTTCGTTTACCCCAATGTTAACTCTGGTACCCATTACCTAGAGGCTGGATGAACCT